TTAGCCTTCATTTACCTTCATACACCTTCATCTACCCCCATTAGCCTTCATTTACCTTCATACACCTTCATCTACCCCCATTAGCCTTCATTAACCTTCATACACCTTCATCTACCTCCATTAGCCTTCATTTACCTTCATACACCGTCATCTACCTCCATTAGCCTTCATTAACCTTCATACACCTTTATCTACCCTCATTAGCCTTTATTTACCTTCATACACCGTCATCTACCTCCATTTGCCTTCATTTGCCTTCATACACCTTCATCTACCTCCATTAGCCTTCACTTACCTTCATGCACCGTCATCTACCTCCATTTTGGCGGGGACCGTTTTTTTTTTTATCAATTCCTGCAGCAGTGAATATTAGTGCACCCTTCGACGGCCCAAAATTCCATAGAGTCATCAATAGCATTTCACTGATGGTATTTTCCTACAAACCGACCGGTAAATGCAATTTTATTGCTCTAAAGGTGTCAGGCACGACACATAATTGATACCTGATACTTAGTTATAAAATTGGTTCCCACTCTCGCTAGCTGCTTTATGAAGCTACACTTGAAAATCGATATCAACATTTGCCGTGCTTTGTACGTCCCAACTTTTCACAAGCGCAGAGTAATTGAAGGCCTTATAATCCAACAGTGGAGTCCAAGTCGGGACAAGTAAGTTCAAACAACGTAGGGAAACTTTTTCCATCAGTAATCACCTAAGCTATAAAAAAATCTGTAGCCAACAATCTTTTTTTTACCCTACGTGAATTTCAATCAATCTTCGCGTGCTAATAAAATACTTGAATACTTAAAGAGGAACACGAGGTATAAGACGAACACTATACCAGGGCTCGAAATTGTGACTGATACGGTAGCCCTAGTTAGGCCTAATTTGGGATATGCCACCCAAATTTGGGCCCCGCAGTCCATCGAGCTCATTGTCAAGCTTGAGCGTATCCAAAGACTCGCGACTTAGTTTATCTTAAAACTGCCTTATTCTCCTAATAACTATGAGATATAAGTTTCGTTCACAAATTTTAAACCTAATACCTATTTGTTACTGGTATGAACTTTTACATCTACCTTTTTTTTTCAAATTGACACACGGTCTTGTTAACGTGAACTCCTCTGTCGTACCTAAAGTTCGCAAATACGGTAGACGCACTAGATCTTCAACCAGTAATGTTAATAAATACATAATTAAGAAATGTAAAACTACTACGCACCAGACATCGTTTCTCATTAGAACTAGTAGAATTTGGAATTGTTTAGCGGATGAACTAGATTTGAGCTCATCGATCTTAGCTTCCTTTAAATCGGTTATTTTTTAATTATTAGAAGTCCACGTTATCTCTTTCCTATGATTGTGAAGATCCACGTTCGTTCAAGTCAATCTGTTTAAAATGTAATAGTGCTCGTCCCTTGTCTCGTCCAATAACTTGTTGTGTGTAGCTGTAGCTTTCTTGTATCGCTGTGATTTTTAAATGTTTCTTTTTTTTTTCTTTTTATTTGTATCCGGGCCCGCTGTAATTGGCCACAGCTGTTGCGGTGTCCCTGCCAACGTTCTTTCTGTTTATTTGTTTGTTTGTTATGTTTTGTTTTGGCGAAGCTAATGAAATGAAATAAAATAATATGACTCAATAAGTCAAAACGTCTTTTTTTAAAATAACATCCTGTTTGCTATTTTATACAGCGCACTATTTCAGTTTTAGATTTATATCCTGAAGTGCCACTCTCAGAAAATTGTTTCACATTTTTTTACAAAATTTCCTTCCCAGAAAGGGGTATAATTCATCTCAGTTTCTATCCGCTCAGTTACACCTATAAAGTAGCCCTTTAAGAAAGTGGTTTCAACCCGCTGTATGGGACTTTTTCAAAAAAGGAAAAGGAGACGCCCCTTTGCCCCCATAAGAGTCACCAATTTAACAGAAAGACGTATTATTGCGTTGTCTTACCTCGAACGCAACCCCTAAATTGTGTTGGGTGTTCTGTGCCTTATTGGGTACCATGTGCAATTAATAAGGGAGGTTATTTTGAGATTGCATTTTCGTCGTCGTCGACACACATTTGCCTCACTTTGAAGTGCTTGCTTACGTTTTGTTTCACTGACGCGCTAACTCACGTGGTGTTTCGTGTGTCTTCGGCGTTCATCTTTCAAAGGTTTGCTGAGGTCTGATATTCTGTCTTCGTAAAGCGTTCATCTTTTAAGAAGTTTGCTGAATTTTTGTAAAGAGTACATAGACCTGTGTTTGCTGAATCTTCCAAAGCGTTCATCTTTCAGAAGTTTGCTGTTAAATTTTACTTTGGATTAAGCCTTCATATTTTTCAGCATGGTTCGTCACTGTCGTTGGAAAATGTGTACGATTCCTGGTGCATGCATCAAACCGGGTTTAGTTCGGCTGCCTTTGTGTCACAAAGTAAATCTACTGAGTCATGTAGCTCGGCAGCCATTGTCAGGCCACAGAGTAAATTTACCGAGTTGTGTAGCTCGGCGGCCGTTGTGTCACAAAGTAAATCTACCGAGTTGTGTAGCTCGGCAACCGTTGTGCCATAAAGTAAATCTACCGAGATGTGAAACTTGGCGGCGCCATTTGATGATGACTTGTGATATTTTCGGCACCAGGCAAACGAACACTTTAACTCTATGTTATTTATTAGGAAAAATATAAAAAATTAAAATTTATAAAATTTATAAACCGTAGCGCCACTCTCGAGTCACTGAAATCAACACGCTCGACCAAATTACGGGAAAAGTTATTGACATGAGCCGCACACATATTCCACTGAAGGCTTTCACAGAGTTAGTGCGAAATTTGAATTCAGATGTGAAAGCTTTTAAAAAAGTAAATTCAGTTTATTCATTTTGTCAACAAGTTGATGATTGGATGCTCTTAAGAATAACAGAGAAAATTATCCGAAGAATTGTTTTTGAAGAAAGAAAAAGAATCCCGGGTTAAGCGCTATTCGGCCTTTGAACAACTGCGCGCAGTAATCGCGCCAGATAAAACAAAAGTTAAAATGTTCTATTTACACGCCCGACGCACTCTGGCCACTGTCTCCTCCGATTACAAGCACTTGACACCGAACCATACGATACCTTTTAAAATCTTTTTATAATGGTAAACAGTTTAGAGGTTCGTTGTACGCAACCCTTACGTTCAAAATATGCCATAATCATATTTATCTATCGCAAGAACCTTCCAATCTTCCTGCTCAACTGATACCCGCCTGTACGCCTAACAAACCTATCGAACGCACTGTGCTGAGCTCCGATTACTCCTAGTCATAGATACTCTAATAAATGCGTATTACTGGCCATCTTAATTAAGTGCGTCAGAAAGATAGGAACACTCAAATATCTAAGGTCAAAGTTTGAAACCAATATGAAATCTCTGTACAGTCAACCAAAAGAAATCAAAAACGATATGAAACGCTAAAGAGATTTCAGAACACTTCCTTATTGTATTGAGCATTGGGCAAATCGTAACCGAGACTTTTCGCGTTTTTTTTTTTAAAGCAATCCCTGCATTTTTTTCTTTTTTTGAATCAAGTCGTTCACACACTCTTATAATATATAACCGAGCTGTATCCATGTAGATGATATTTCGTCTGGAAGGCTATATAAACTGGAAAAAAAAATGTGAAGTACATCTTGAACGCAAGAAGGCTAAAAATATCACGAATATTTACCCAGTACAATTATGTACAGCGTATATTCCAGCTGTATATATCAGGTATTCAGGCAGAGCAACATTTAGCGCAAACAGATTTTCAGGAACATTAGATGTTAACTTTGTGACAGCCAAGTAAGGAAAAGGAACGGTTTCAAACCAACAACAACGTCTGCGTCGAGCGTTATATTACAGAAATAACCGAGCGGATAGAAACAAGGGGGATTACTCCATTGTTTAGGTAAACAATTTTAATTATTATAAAACATTCTAGTGCGGCACTTCCCGCACTTATGTCCAGGATCGTTCTTGTTAGCAAAAATTTGCTAGCAAATTGTTTTCGTAATTTTAGAAAAAAAGATTTAAAAAAAACTGCTTTCAGAAAAGTATAGAAGAAATATAGCAAATGTCGCAAAAATCGAAAAAGTAAGAAGAATTTTTCTTGCTAAGTGAAAAGATTGAGCAACAAATATGGCAAAGTGAATAGCAAGAACAACAAATTTCACAAAATTCTACACTTAGAAAGGGAAGAGGTCAAGAAGGGCTTCGAGATGTCCGCAAATTTCGCGAAATTCGCAAAAGTAACAAGAATTTTTCTTCCTATGTGAAAAGATTGAGCAACAAATATGGCAAAGTGAATAGCAAGAAAAACAAATTTCACAAAATTCTACACTTAGAAAGGGAAGAGGTCAAGAAGGGCTTCGAGATGTCTGCAAATTTCGCGAAATTCGCAAAAGTAACAAGAATTTTTCTTCCTATGTGAAAAGATTGAGCAACAAATATGGCAAAGTGAATAGCAAGAAAAACAAATTTCACAAAATTTTACACTTAGAAAGACAAAAGGTCAAAAAGGGCTTCAGTAAGTAGGCAAATTTCGCAAAAATCGCAAAAGTAACAAGAACTTTTCAAGCTATCTGAAAAGATTGAGCAACAAATATGGCAAAAAATAGCAAGAAAAACAAATTTAACAGAATTCTACACTTAGAAAGGGAAAAGGGCAAGGAGAGCCTCGAAATATGGCAAAATGCCACAAATTGGCTAGAGTAACAAGAATAGGCAAGAATTGTTGAAGGGCAAGAAAGGGGCCAAGAACTCCCACGCATCACTGTTTTTCCCTAATACTAATGGTTATCTCAACTGGAGCACGTTCTTGTCCAGTAATTTTGTAATGCGTTCCATTTTCGCGAAAATGAAATCATCAGTCACAAACGTGACACTATTTATAATTACTGACAGTAGCAAAATACTGTAATACCAATCTGTGTATGCTTCGTTCTTCCAGCGACATACAGCTACAATGCATAAAAAGGAGTGTCGCCCACAGAAGGGGCCAAATTTTAAGCAATAAAAGGGGGTGGTAGCAGAACTTTTCATGGTCAAGAACCCACCACAACAATCGTTCCAAAATATTAAGAAGAGCACATTGGGGGAAAGAAAACGGGCATTATACGTGAATGTTGCTGTGCAATACCCAAAGTTTTTTAAACAGGGATTGCCAGTGATTTGATTTATGTGTGCTTCGTTCTATTACTCATGAATCATGAACAATTATAACAAAACCACCGAGAAAAGAGACCAAAAGATGTAGGCCATACAAATACAAAATGTCATAACATGATTGTTTCACTTACAACCTCTGATTTAAGAAATACCCTTTGTGGACGTTTGAAGTTATAAAAAAACCCAAAAAATGAAAATTACATTGTCACAGATACAGTCTAACCCATTATTGGCATACTGCAGAACACTAAATTTCTACTAAGAAAGCGCTATAACAAGCCTACTGTCACAATTATTTGGCTATTTTTTAAAAATGAATTTTCCTTCTTTTAACGAAATTGTAACATTGACATTTTACTAGGATGAAAATCCTAAGCATGCAATATGCGATTTTTTGCAATCTTCTTATTCTTTAAATCGCAAATATTTAAAACATAAAACAGGAAACGATCTTGGTTTGTCATTGCTTTATCACAAATCTCCATAAGAAGATTTTATTGAACCCGGGGTAAATAAGTGTACTCGCCACTGCTGTTAATTATACATCCCACAGTAAAGACCTTACTATCGGTGTTTGAAACGAAAACCCTAACCATTCCCCTCGCTCCCTCCTCTCCCAGAAAAGCACTTCTACAGATTCTGCTATTGAAGTTCACTAATTGTAGCCTGTAGCCCTTGTCTACAATTTAGTTTATTTTGTTTCTCTCGCTATTTCTGCGATATTGTTACTAGGTGTTTTTAATTACCAAGAAAAATCCTTGTTACTTTTGCGTTTTTTGCCACATTTGAGGACATTTCGGGGCCCTTCTTGGCTTCGTCTTTTTCTAAGTCTTGGTTCTTGTTAGATTTGTTATTTTTTGCGATTTTGCGATATTTGTCATCTATGGGTGTTTTTAGCTAGCAAGAAAAATCCTTGTTACTTTTGCGATATTTGCGGACATTTAGGGGCCCTTCTTGGCTTCTTCTTTTTTTAACTCTGGAATTTTGTTATTTGTTATTTTTGCGTTTTTTTGCGATATTTGTCATGGGTGTTTTTTAGCTAGCAACAAAAATCCTTGTTATTTTTGCGATATTTGAGGACATTTCGGGACCCTTCTTGGCTTCTTCTTTTCTTAAGTCTAGAATTTTGACATTTGTTATTTTTGCGATATTTGCGATATTTGTCACGGGTGTTTTCAGCTAGGAGCAAGAAAAATCCTTGTTACTTTTGCGATTTTTGCGATATTTGCGGACATTTCGGGGTCCTTCTTGGCTTCTTTTTTTTCTAAGTCTGGAATTCTGTTACATTTGTTTTTTTTTACGATATTTGCGATATTTGTCACGGGTGTTTTCAGCTAACAGAAAAAATCCTTGTTACTTTTGCGATATTTGCGGACATTTCGTGGCCCTTCTTGGCTTCTTTGCTTTCTAAGTCTTGATTCTTGTTAAGTTTGTTATTTTTGCGATATTTGCGATATTTGTCATGGGTGTTTTCAGCTCGCAAGAAAAATCCTTGTTACTTTTGCGATTTTTGCTTTGCGGACATTTCGCGGCCCTTCCTGGCTTCTTTTCTTTCTAAGTCTGGAATTTTGTTACATTTGTTATTTTTTGCTATATTTGCGATACTTGTCATGGGTGTTTTCAGCTAGCATGAAAAATCCTTCTTACTTTTGCGATTTTTGCGATATTTGCGGACATTTCGCGGCCTTTCTTGGCTTCTTTTTTTTCTAAGTCTGGAATTTTGTTACATTTGTTATTTTTGCGATATTTGCGATATTTGTCATGTGGTGTTTTTAGCTAGCATGAAAAATCCTTGCAACTTTTGCGATTTTTGCGATACTTATGATTTGCGGACATTTCGGGGTCCTTCTTGGCTTCTTTTTTTTTTTCCTTAGTCTTGATTCTTGTTAGAGCTGTTATTTTTGCGATATTTTTCACAGGTGTTTTCTGCTAGCAAGAGAACTCTTTGTACTTTTGCGATTTTTGCGATATTTGCGGACATTTCGGGGTCCTTCTTGGCTTCTTTTTTTTTCTAAGTCTTGATTCTTGTCAGATTTGTTATTTTTGCGATATTTGTAAGTGATTTTCTGACATAATTTTTTCTCAATTATTTTTTTTGCGCCAACTGCGAAAAAAATTTGCTAGCAAATTTTTGCTAACAAGATCGATCCTGGACATACGTTTCATTACACTTCCCTGTTGCAATGATTATTTGGAAAAGTATTGCATGGTTTGAAATGGGTTTTTTTCCATATAATTAGTCTTTTTGTTAATTTATCCTCTCGATCATTTACCGTCTTGATAAGAATTGGGGTGAAACACTTGGCCATGCTGTGCATCATTTTTTCCTATCCTTTGTATTGCAGTGGTTGCGATATGACGTTATGTAAGTGACAATGGGTTA